GAGAAGAAAATCGAGGAGGAGGAGTGAAAAAAAAAAAAAAAGAAGAAAGGAACTTAGGGGATAAACCCCTTATAAATTAAACCTAGGCTTAGCCTTAAACTTCTAGTGGTATGCGCATATGCTGTGGAGAGCATTACACATTCTGTACTTCTGATGAGGGCAGTGAAACAAAATAACACCAAGGGTTTGGGGGTTTTCTAATTTTTTTTCTTAGATGTTTTAAACAACTGGACATTTAGCAATGTCGGTTGCTTTGACAGCTATTCCCGTTCCATTCTTAGGCAGGATATATTTCCAATACCTGTAACAGTAGCTGGATCTGGATTTTAGATAACTGGTGCTTGAATTCTAAATGATGTAAGGACCATTTCTTTAGAATTGCTTCTGATTTTATAGGATGTGGGTCCCATTTACCAAAGAAATCATGTAGACATAGAACTACATTCCTTTCTTTAATAAGAAAAAGTTAAGTAGAAAGTAAGCTTGGAAGAGAAGTCAAACTAGCAGTGCAAAACTAATTATTCTTCAAGATGCCTTGGAAATTTATTTTCCGATCTGGATGCATATGGAGGAAATTCCATTCATCAGACTAGATTCTAAACTCACCAAGAGGGTTCTGATATTAAGGTGGCATAATTTCCCAATTGTGCTTTCTTTCCTCTGTTGAAAGCCAAGGTCACATACCACTAAATGCATGTTTCCATGCATGTGTCCCTCTTCTGGGGCACTGCTGTTTCACAATGTTCTTCACAACCTTACTGTGTGCCATGTGTCCAGTCATGGAGATAGAACTGGACTTAGCAGATAAACTGAGAAATGGTTAAAACAGATTTTGGTAGATCCTTTGAACCAAGCTTTGCTCACTGGCAGAACTAAGGAGGAAAGGTCGTAGGGGAGCTGTTAATATTTGCCAGTGTTGCTGCTGAAAAGCAAAGGTTTTGTGGAATCTCCTGAAGCTGCTGCCACAGTGGGAAAGTTATGTGGAGCGGATCCACAAGTGACAGGTGAAAGAAGTTTATTGGGAAATGTGCCAGGCACCATCAGGATAAGTACAAGCTGTCATGTCTGAGCGTTTTATCTGACCTCTGATACAGGAGGCAAGTTAGACAAGTTACAGCGGCCATTACATAAACTCCTCATGGATTGTAGATCCTCTCTGCATTCAGGTGAATGTTGAAGGGCAAATCATGAGTGCCTCTGATTTACAAGAATGTTTATTGCATAGTGTGTAGTATAAACCTATTTTATGCTAATGGTGATCATTGAAAAGGGAAAGGTAACTGAAGCAATATTTGTGTTAACTGTGAACAGGCATTACTAAATCCTCCAGCTGTACGGTCAGCAGTTTCCCAGTACTCTTCAACTGCTTTATGCTGATTATTTTGGCATTGTCTGAATAAAACTAAGAAGAATAGTTGCACACTGCTCAACTCAACATACAGTGTAAAGGACTGTGGGACATAATCAAAACACTGTCCTTTGGTATAGACATTATTTCTATGAGGGATAATTTGATTGTAGTGTTAAGAAGAGTGAGAACAAGATTCCCTGGTAAGTGAGGACTCATAATCACTTTGAAAGATGTGTAATGCAAATACAGCCTGCAAGTCCAATACCTCATTGACCTCTTCTCCTGTCCACTTTGTGTAGCTGGTGTAATGGATGTGGTTTTTGTTGGTCATCTTAATTCCACCACAAGACGTCACCTCGGTCATCACTTACTGAAAATAGACATTAAGATGTGATAGGAGACCTGTTAATTCACTCAGAATTTGTACAGAATTTGTCCTCCAGTGACTGGTACTTGTATGCTCCATTGCTTTGAAGTGCAATAGAAAGCAGGAAGGTCAGTAAGTGTTTTTTAATATCACTTTTTCTATTCCTACAACAAATCTGCCTTTCCATGAAGAATACGAGAGGCCTACCATCCAAACATTTGCACTATGCTTTAAACGGTTTATGGAACACAGAGATCACTTTTTCCTCAAGATACATGTTTAGGTGGTACTGTAATTGGCTTTGTGATTTAAGTCTTCATTGCAACTACATTTGTATTTTCTTTTAAAGCAAGTCTACAAGTGTGGCTCATTTGTTTGGTTAAAAAAGCAGTTTTTAGCTACTAGGTATCTTGGCAGCCATCACAGCCTGTTCTTTTTCTCTTCTCAATAAGATGTTGAATGTAACAGTGACAGTGGGCATAGTTGTGGGGAAAAGGCCTGCTGCAACACTTGTGCACTGTTTGTTACTTGCAAATGTAATTACTTTGTTTTGTGATTTGATCTGTTCTTAGAAGTTGTATATATTTTCTAAATGATTTCTTTGTGTATATAAGGTATGTTCTTTAATGAAGAAACAGCAATGCAATAAGGAGCTTTGCACAGTTCATTTTCAAACAAAATACATGTGAAAAAAAATCACCTGCCTAAACATGCAATTATTTCAACTTCTCAGTTACTTGATTTGAAGGTAATGCTTGAATTTTGATAAAAACAGAGTTGAGTAGTAATGGCATAGAATTTGTTGCCACTGAGCTTTTCAAGTTTCTTGCAGTATACCAAATCTCTTAATTAGCTAATACAGAAATCTTCTCTAAGAAATTCAGGGAATTGCATTAAAAAATTGACAATTTTATTGTTCAGGTACTTGAACGTATCTGTAACAAGTTGCATGAGATCTTCTTTCATGGAGAAAATGTCCCCATCAAGTAAACTTTCTTTTCTTCATGGATGTAAAGAAAAATGGATCTGCTGCAATACGTGAAAAGTACCACTGCACGTGCAGCAGATCAGAGAAACCAGAAAACCCCAGCCAGCTTTGGGATTCTTTACAATCTGCACTTTATAATAAAGCAGTTTTGCAACTTCGATCTGCAGTCAATCAGTAATATTATTTCATTTAGTAAACAATTTCATTTGGGAAAAAAGGTACCTTGTAACAGCTTCTTTTTGAATGTTTTAAAACAAGAATGATATATAGAGAAGTGTTGGTACATCTCCTGTACATCATGTTTAAATTGGGTTATGTAGTTACCACATTTGTTTTGTTTAGATATGTGTATCAAACTGGAACTTTTTTCAACTGTAAATATACGGTTTTGTTAAATAAAGTCATGTAAAGTTATCTTAAATCAACTGTTGTCAGTGTAATTCAGATATTAAAAATTCCAGTTCTGGTCTTTTTCTTCACAGGTGGCTTTAGCAATTTTTGTCTGTTCAACAAGAGGACTTTGGGCTATTTGTTAATTGAAGGTAGAGGACTTTTTGCTGATGCTTGGAAGTTCTCATGTTGAAATACCTGTTAAATACCCTGAGAAATTTAGAAAATCTGATACTTACTGTGCCTGCGGTTTTATCCCTTTTCATACATCTTTCTCTGGACTAGGCCTGAGGTCTGATAAATGTATTATGAAAAATAGTTGTAAATAAATCTTTATGTATTTTCAGAGTTCAGGAATGCTTAAATACCTCATCCCAGCTTTGCTTCAAAAGAAATCTTAGTTTTTTGCAAGTTTCATAATCACAAAGCATTTTTGTGCTCAAGTTAAGTCGGTGTTGTTTTACTTCTGACATAGGCATAACTTCAGAACTTAAAGTGGAGAAGCTTCCTGTTGCAGAAATGAAAAGAGTTTGAAGGATCAAATAAAAGGGGAGAGAACTCTGGCAGTACCTGTGCACCAAGGGTCTGTGCAGAACCCAGGCAAAGCCTTGGCTGCCATGGTTCTGGTTGGTCCAGCAAGCAGCTGTCCCACTTCCTTCCACTGCAGTATCTCCTGATGGGCAGAAGGTGAAATCAGATTTGTTCTCTCTAACACCGATTTGATACTGAAAGAGATTTATAATGTATCTGTTACAGCAGTTGCACACATTTGTTCAAAACTAGATTTACTTTGTTATCCCAAATAATAATTTCAAGTTTCTTCAGCCATGCTCAGCAAGGAAGGAGGAATTTGCTTTCTGGCTTTTCATCTGAACTCCCCTACAAGCAGGGGTCAGCCCAGCATAGTGACATTTCTGCATTTCCAGCTGCTGACACAGCAGCTCTACAGTATTTTTCCCAGAAGTCTGAAGTGATGTCTCAGTTCCAAGCACCCACATTTCTGCTGCAGTTCCAGGTTGTTTCTCCACTTTCTCCACAGGCTTTCAGGTTGTTTCTCTGGCTGGCTTTGTTTTGGTGAGGATATAGCTCTCTGACACCTTTCCATGCCCATCAGTTCAGCCTTTCTGCCTTGGCTTTCAGCTTCCATTAGTACCAGTTTTTTCTATGCTGAGAGTATGGATTGAGTTCAACAAGTTCTTTTTGAGCTTCAGGATTTCATCCCAGATTGTCAAGCTCTTCCTTCACGTGCTGGCAGTGCAGGGAGCGCTGAGCTGTTCTCTCCGAGCACTCACGGTGGGTCCAGTTTGGACTTCATGCCTCAGCCTGATGTTTTCTGTGCGGGCTGAGAGGAGTAGAACTAAAAGAAGAATCTCTTTATTTCTTTATTCCTCACCTGCTCGGGAAAAGGTGCTTCCGTTTGGGATGTCACACTGACACTGACAATAACACACTGACACTGACAATGATACTGACAATAACACTGACAGTGACACTGACAATGACACACTGACAGTGACACTGACAATGACACAATGACACTGACAGTGACACAGACACAATGGCACTGACACTGCCCAGGCTCCTCCCGCCGGGCCCGGCCCGGCCCCGCTTCCCCCGTTGCCAGGCACCCGCCAGGCCCCGCCCCCTGCTCGTGCACGGCCCCGCCCCCTGGCGGGCGGCCCCTGCGCGCGGCTCCTCTCGGGGCGGCTCCTCCCATTGGCCGCGGGAAGGCCAGACGGGCCCGGCTCGGCCAATCGGAGCCGCCTCCTCGCGCTGACACCCCCCGCGCCCGCCAGCCCCGGCCCCATTGGCCGGCGCTGGCCGCGGCCCCGCCCCCCCAGCGCGCTGCCATTGGCGGCGCGGGCTGCGGGGGCGCGGCCGCGCGCGCGCGCGGGCGGGGTAAGATGGCGGAACTGGGGAAGAAGTACTGCGTGTACTGCCTGGCCGAGGTGAGCCCGCTGCGCTTCCGCTGCACCGAGTGCGCCGACATCGAGCTCTGCCCCGAGTGCTTCTCGGCGGGCGCCGAGATCGGCCCGCACCGCCGATGGCACGGTTACCAGCTGGTGGACGGCGGCCGCTTCACCCTCTGGGGCGCCGAGGCCGAGGGCGGCTGGAGCAGCCGCGAGGAGCAGCTGCTGCTGGACGCCATCGAGCAGTTCGGCTTCGGCAACTGGGTAAGGGCCGGGGGACGGGGACGGGGGCGGGGGCGATCCTCCTGCTGGGACCGGCGGCCCTGACAGCAGCCCCGGGGCGCGTCCTGCGCTGCGGAGCCCGGGCTGCCCCTCGCTCCCCGCCGCTCCCGGAGCGCACCCGCCGCTCGGAGCTGTCGCTGCTCCACGTTCTGCCTTTGCCTCCCCACAGCCCGTCCGTGTCACGGAGCTGGCACCTGCCTCTGAGCCTGTCCCTCAGCGTGTCCCGGCGGGGGCTGGCTGCTCGCCTTCAGCGGCGCTGCACGGCCAGACCTGGCTTTAGAAGCAGCAATAGGAAAGCCTCTCACAGGCACAGAGAGGGTCAGGGCGGAAAGGACTGCAGTGCATCCCGGAGCACTTGCACAGAACTGCATCCAGACGGTTCTCGGTTATTTCCAGTGAGGGAGACTCCACAGCCTCTCTGGGCAGTGTGTCCCGGTGCTCGGTCACCTGCACAGTGAAGAAGTTCTTCCTCACATACCTGTGGGATTTTCTGTGCATCAGTTTCTGCTTGTCACCTCTTGTCCTGTTGCTTGGCACCACAGAGCAGAGCCTGGTCCATCTGACACCTCCCTTCAGATACTGATGGACCTTGGGGATGTCCCCTCTCAGTTGTCCCTTCCTGAGGCTGAACAAGCCCAAATCCCTCAGCCTCTTCTTGTAAGAGAGATGCTCCAGTCCCTCGGTCACCCTCATTGCCCTCTGCTGGACCATTTGATTCGTTTCTGATTTATTTGATTTGTTGTTACTTATGTTTTGCTTCATTAAATATAAAGACTGTTTCAAACCCTTAAAGTGTACAATCATTGCAGCTTGCTTAGTTCTTAAATAACTAGAATAGAAGTTATTACTCTTACAGTAAATACTGTTTATTTCCATGTTGCTCCTCAGGAATGTGATATAAACAAGCAAAACCCGTGGGGTACAGTGCTATTGGTGTTGGCTTGGGGCTTGGAAAGCTTCCTGGTTATGGTGAGCTGGGTCTGTGGGAGTCACCATGGAGTGCTGTTTTCGTGGCTTACCTGCCTCCATGCACGGTAAATGCTCATCCAGAGCTGAAATCACAGATCTGATAGAAATGTGGTATTGCTAGAGAAGTTTAGGTTCTGGGAGTTGACTTTTGAGGTGCAAGGAGAAAGTCATGCTCATTATGCTGGAGATGTAGCGGGAATCGTTTCATCACTGCTCCTTTTTTCCTGTTTAGGAGGACATGGCCGCCCACGTGGGCGCATCCCGAACGCCTCAGGAGGTGATGGAGCACTACGTGAGCATGTACATCCACGGCAACCTGGGCAAGGCCTGCATCCCTGACACCATTCCCAACAGGGTGACGGACCACACGTGTCCCAGCGGCGGCCCGCTGTCCCCCAGCCTGACGACGCCGCTGCCGCCGCTGGACATCTCGGTGGCCGAGCAGCAGCAGCTGGGCTACATGCCCCTGCGCGACGACTACGAGATCGAGTACGACCAGGACGCCGAGACGCTCATCAGCGGCCTCTCGGTCAACTACGACGACGACGACGTGGAGATCGAGCTGAAGAGGGCCCACGTGGACATGTACGTGAGGAAGCTCAAGGAGAGGCAGCGGCGCAAGAACATCGCGCGAGATTATAACCTGGTGCCGGCCTTCCTGGGCAAGGACAAAAAGGACAAGGAGAAAACTCCCAAACGGAAGATCACGAAGGAAGAGAAGGAGTTGAGGTTGAAACTGAGGCCTTTGTACCAGTTCATGTCTTGTAAGGAGTTTGAGGACTTCTTTGAGAACATGCACAAGGAGAGGGTACTTCGAGCGAAGATTCGGGAGCTGCAGCGGTACCGGCGGAACGGCATCACCAAAATGGAGGAGTCGGCGGAGTACGAGGCGGCCCGGCACAAACGGGAAAAGAGGAAGGAGAACAAGAACATAGCTAGTTCCAAGAGAGGGAAGGAAGAGGGTAAAGAAGGTGAATTTGCTGCCATTGAAAACCTGCCTGGCTTTGAACTCTTGTCGGACAGGGAAAAGGTGCTCTGCAGCTCTCTGAACTTGAGTCCTGCACGTTATGTGACTGTAAAAACTATCATCATTAAAGACCATCTCCAAAAAAGACAAGGAATTCCTTCAAAGAGTCGCCTTCCCAGTTACTTAGATAAGGTACTGAAGAAAAGGATTTTAAACTTTCTGACAGAAAGTGGTTGGATATCCAGGGATGCTTCATGAAATTCAGCCGATCTCAAAAAACACATCAGAGGCCCATTACAGCCTCAAGGACTCCGTTATTGTTTCCTTCCCTCCCCAAAGATACAGAAACCATGTCGGTTAAAAACGCAAAAGAGCAAATACATCAACCTCCAGAGTCATCATGATCCATGGTGGTTTAAGTAGACTTTTGCTTTGGATCATGGAAAATACTTAATTCTGAAACTTCTACATTGGATTTCACTGCTTTTGGTACATTCTTAGAACAGATTTTTTCATGTGAACTTACTCAAGTCCGGTAGTCCCAGAGTAGTTGCTTTAGTTTGTACTGTTGGATAAAGGAATATCAGTGTAATCCTTGCTTTTCTCTGAAGGTAGGAGACAGTTTCATTCACTGGAAACTTTCTTCACCCTTTGTTTTGTTTTTTTTTTTGGCATAATGCTGGCAGCAAAGTGAAGCTTATGAAGGTCCTGTGCTCAGGAGGAGGTGAGCAGGGACTTCAGTGAGCAGTGCTAAGCTTTTGGAACATTCTCCTCAGTAACTACAGCCGAGGCATGGGGACGCCGGGATGAGAGTTCCTGTTGGGAGTGCAGCAGGGCTGAGCCGTGGCAGGGAGAGGAGGGAAGGAAGGAAATGGGGTAGCTGAGATGCCTGCAGGGATTTGTGCTGTAGAGGGGGGTTCTTGAAGAGCTCCAGCTGATCTGGGCATTGTTTTGGCCTGAGTTTCCTGAAACAGACCCCTCTGAAGAGTTGACGTTTCCTGCTTGGTACTGGAGTGTCAGGAGTCCCCAGCAGCTGTGGTGTTCTGCTCCAGAGGAGGGCTCAGCTACAGCAAGTACCTGGTTGGGGCAGAAATGGCCTTTGGGAGAGTAGGCAGTGAGGTGTTTGGCAGAAGCTGAGAGCCTCAGGCAGCAAAATCACTGCTTTTCCTTACTGGGGGAGCCTGCTTCTCCTCCTTTGGGATCTTAACTGCTGAGCTCATAGAAGCTGAGGAGGTGTAGCTGCCTCCTGAATTTCGTTGGGAAGTCAGGGAAAGGGAGCAAGATTCTCAGATGGGTTGTGATGGCTGAGATTGGTCTTTAAAAACAAAAATAACAATTGATGCAGATTTGGTCAAAATGCACAAAATGTTCCTAAATTTGGAGTGCTTAACCAGCCACTGCAGGGTTCTAATTGCACACACCTTGAGATGTACCAGCCCAGGCACATTGGATCTGGGTGTACTGACAGGGAGAGGGGCCGTGCACCTTGGGAGGGATCTCCTCCAGTTCTGACAGCTGCTGCCTGCAGAGCTGCTGGAGCCAGCTGGAATTTGGGAAACACAAGTGCCCAACCCACAGTGCTGTTCTAGTTAGATCTGGTGATAAAGGGAAAAATGTTAAAGGAGGATTAGAAAAAAAATTTATGCCCATTTCATCCTTCTATTCCCTGCTGGTATTTAACCAAATGAATAAAAACCAGAGGTTGCCACGTGGAAGATGGCACAGTTACTTGTGCCTGAACCTCTCTGCTGGTCATGTCTGGAGCAGGAAGTTGTGGCTGGAGGCAGGCTGGGCAGGTCTGGAGTGCAGGTGTACCAAACTTGGAACCTGGCTGGCTTCAATCTGAGTGCAAGACCTGGAAATGTCACCTTGCTTTGATGCTTTGGGCTGTAGTCAGTGAGGATACCACAAAATCTTCAAACAGTATTAATTCTGCAGTTTGGCAGAGGTATTCTGATCAGAACTGGGTTTCATTTAATACATCCAGCATTACCAAGCTAGTGTTACCAGTGAGTTTAGAATAAAAAGAGTACAATTACAAAGCCAGCATTTCTAAGGAAAAAACCCCAAAACTCGAGTGCCTTTTTCTTTTGAGCTTATGTTGTGTCCCTTCAAAAAAGGTAAGGGCTATGTCCTCTGGGATGTAATACTTTGTTTGGCTTATCTGTAAGTGGTTTGTTGTGGCATACTCGAGACAAAGTGTCTCTTCTTGGCAGCAGTGGAGCTAACTGCAGTGTGCTGAGTAGCTTTAATAACCACTTCCACCCTGTATGCATGTACAAGCAGCACACAAGTTCATTAGGTATAAACCCTGGGTTATTTTCTCTGTCCTGCTCCTGTGGGAAGGAAGCTCAGTTTTTCTTTTCAGCATTCTAGTTATGCAATTTGGTTCTTCTTGTAACTTGGTTGTTTAACTGCCACAACATGCTGTTTTGAAGCCTCAATTCTGCATGTAGCTGGGAGTTTAAGAGAATTGTTTTGGTTTTGGTTCTTCTGGGGGTTTTTCCCTCAAATCTGTGATTTTCATATTTCTACACTGTTTTGGCACATCTAAGTTAAACTGAAGCAATAGCCTAAAGCCCATCTGAACAATAACTTAGGAAAAAATCTAGGCACCAATGAGTCATTTAAATGTTGAAGTGAATTCTGCATTTACACTTTGTAGCTTCTTAATTCCTCAACCCCTCCAAAATGTTTCTTTGGTGCTAGATGTAACTTATTGAACATCAAAATGAATGTAAAATAAAAGTATTTTTAATGTATGCAATATGGATATCAATATTTATTTTGTACTTGCAAGCTAACTCAAGGTGGTAAATGTTTGCTTTAGCAAATATTAGTCCCTTGGAACGGGCTTCCCTAGAAGCAATGTCTCATTTTCAGCTATGCTTTTAATTTTAAAGGTGACTTGCACTAGAGGATGCTGCTGTTCCATATTTCACATGGAACTGATTTAGTCTAAGCATTCCTTTGTTATGAGCTGCTGGTTTTCTGTTTGATTGCTTATACATTGAGATGCAGTTAATGTTAATCCAGCAATTTACTACAGCTATGCTGCTTCTCTTCTGCGGTGAAGGGGCTGAGATGGCAAAGAGCTCTTTCAACTTGTATTTTGTGTTGATCTGGAAGTGCTTCCTGTACTGTACAAATAATCCAGCCTTCATGTTGCTAATGACAAGGTGTTTTATATGCTTAATGCTCATGACTTTTCTAATTAAAGTTGTTACTAATGATAGTATCTGTCTTAACACCATTGATGTAAGCCTATGGAAAAGCAACACTCTCTAAGCTGTTGAAAATATTGATTTTGTGCCCTGGGAGGGGCTGTGCTGTGTGTTCCATCCCAGGGCTGTGCTGGAGGGAGCCTCCATCTCCCTCCATGTGCATGAAAATACTGATCCTGTGCCCTGGGAGGGGCTGTGCTGTGTGTCCCATCCCAGCCTCCATCTCCCACCCTGTGCACTGCCCAGCTCTGGGCTCGGACGCTGCAGTGCTCTGGCTCCAGCCCCTCGTGCTCCTGCTCCTGGCAGCCCAGCAGGCAGTGAGAGCAGGGCTTGTGAGCATGAACTGCCTGGGAAGTCTCCCAAACTAAGCTCTGCCCTTATTCCCTTGTGCCCCGCTGCATCCGATTCCTTTGCGCCTGGAGCAGGCTTCATGAACCTGCTGGTTTACTCTTCTCACAAAATGGCTTTGCCTGAGCCCCAGTCACTCCCAAGTGATGACACACTCAGTGCTGTGAAGCAAGATACCCCATGAGCATGTTCAGCTCATCAGCTTTTCTTCCTTAAAGGGAATGTTGCATTCATTTGAAGTTTACATTTGTAGCTGTGCCAGACACACAAATCCTGTGCTGAAATCACACAAAGCCTAACTGATGTTTGCACACAGCATTTTACTAATTTTTGCATTGTGAATTGGTAAATAAACTTGTATTAAAGTTTCTTTCCATGACTGATTTAACAATAATGTAGCTTGGTCAATGAGGAAAATGGCTTCAGTCTTTGCAATAACATTTGGAGATGCATTGCAGCTAAATGTGATGGGTGAAAATGTAGTGTATGATAGCTAGTACTGGTGGTAACTTTGTTGGGTGCCTAAATTTCAGAACCTCCTTCCTCTGTTCCTTGATTTCCTCAGTGCTCCTTCCTGGGCTAAGGCAGAGTGCACAGGTGGTTGGAGCTCTCACTCCAGCCAAAGCCTTTCTGAGGGCAGGCCAGGGAAGGGGAACCACTCAAATGAGAGACTCAGCTACCAGCTTCAAAGATGACCCTTGTGCTGAACAGGAGCCTGTGTTTGAGAACACCCCTAATGAACTGATGTGGCCCAAAAATGACACTTTGTGTGAAGCACTGGGAAGCTCATTAACAAAATCTTCATCTGCTAGGGAACAATGTGTCCCTTTGTTTCAACTCTCTATTACAAAAACTTCTACACTAAGGACATTATTATTACATTTAGTTTAGATCCAGAGGGATTGGGAGGGGACGTAACAACACATGACAGTTCTTTAAAGGTATATAAAATGGAACCTGGTCCTTTTTTGACATCACTGTGAGAACAGGTCCCAATCAAAGTGCAACAAAATCATTTCTTCAGTCCTACTTCACACAACTACAGTGTCCCAGAGGAAGGAAAGATAGGTCCAAATTCAGTACAGGGAATCCCCTTTTTTCCCTGTACCTGATTAGTTCAAAAAATTTAACATTGTAGTTATCTTCACACATCAGATAATTACTCTCCTTCCTCTGCCCAGTCCAAGCATTCTTTTGTAGAGTTGAGAAAGAATGAATCCTTACATATGATTAACATGACTAACCTCCAAACAGTTTTGTGCACTTAGGCTGTTCCTGGTTAACTGCTTAATTCCCATGAAGGAAACCAACTCTGGGAAGAATGGCTTAAGGAATGAGTAATCACTTCTCACTATGAGTAGGTCCAGTGTTCAGTAAGCTCTTGGCAACTCTATCTAAATCACAAAAAATATAATCAACACTTGATTTTAAGGTAAAACTCCTTAATCCACAATAACCAGAAACATGGTAAAAAACCTCAGAAGTACTTACTTTTTACAGGACCTAATAACTTCAACTTCCCTAAGTTTGAAGATCCTGTCCTGTGTGTTAACAGTGTGGGCTTTCAGAATCCAAGAGTGCAGATCCTTTGTCAGTTGTGTAATTTGCCAGGTTCCACCCGCACCTATCCAGGTGACCAGACAAATGTTGTTCAGGTAATCATGTGCTGTGTTTTGTGCTGATTCTGCAGCATTGGGAGCAGCAGGTGGAGTCAGACATGGCAAGAGTTGCATGGAGAAAAGTTTTGGTGCAACCCAATATCCAAGCTGAGTAAATGTAAGAAATAAAGCAAATGAAACTAAGTTCACACTTTGGTTTGAGCCACTTACATGCAATGATGTATATAAGTCTAAAAGAAATCATATAGCAAACTCTCAGCAATTCACTTCTTTGGGTGTTCTGGCTCCCACCAGGATTGTAACTACAGTTTGCATAACAAACTGATTGCAAAGCTGGAAGTTACAAGACTATAAAAATTATTTAAACCAATTTATACAACATTAAATTAAAAATCCAGAGATAGGATAAATTCTATTGGTTCTTCAATGCCATACAAGTATTAGATGGTTTTCCTGATTCAATGGTAGTACAGGACAAAAAGGTGGAGCAATTACAAAAGATATCTAATCTCCATTGCCATTTATTTACAGTTCAGAATTCACACAGGTTTCAGTTTCAGTTGTTGAGAGATTATTTTTGAATAGACAAAACAGGGCATTTGTCACATCAGTGTGTAGAAGCTGATGGGTGCTTGCAGAAGGCAGGTTATTTGTACTACATCACCCACTTCTGCAAGGTGAGATTCTACGAAACCAAAGGAAGTGTCTGAACCACTATCTGCATTTTCAATCTACACACAGCGATAAACTCGAAATTGCACCACTCTTGTGAGCGTTTCATTCTTTTCAATTTAATTCACCATCTCAGGAGCAATAGTTGTATAAAACATTATCTAATCTAAAGCATTAGAGGGCTTAATGGCTCTCTTCACACTGAAGGAGAGCTCATGGAACAGTGATGTCAAAGGCCACTAGGCAGGAGAATTTCATCGGTTACTTCATTTTCACTGGGAAACCTCAACCAACTCATGTAACCCTCTCAGGGAGCAGAGGAACGAGGGAAGCACGGTGTGAGAGAAACCATCCAGCTGTTTAATAGTGGAACGGCACCGGGGCGCCCCGGGCGGGGCCGCTACGCGTCCTTGACCACGCCCACGAGGGCGGGCCGCAGCGTGCGGCCGTGCAGCTTGTAGCCGACCTTGGAGACCAGCGCGATGGTGCCGGGCTGCCGGCCCTCGGCCGCCGTGTGGAACAGCGCCTCGTGCTCGTACGGGTCGAACTTGGCCCCCACAGGGTTCAGTCTGAGCAGGCCGTGCTTTTTGAACACCTTCTGGATCTGCATTTCTGTCATGACAAGACCTTCGTATAAGCTCTTCAAGTGAGGGTTTTCATCTTTGATTTCTTCTTTTGGAA